CCCCACCTGCGTCCCGACCCGCACCAGGGCCCCGACCCTCGGCCCCCGGCCCCGCCCGCACCTCCGTGATGATGTCGTGCAGGTAGCGGAACGGGGGCTTGTTCAGCAGCTTCTCCGTCAGCGGCGGCCTCCGGATCACCTTCCCCAGGGCCTCCTGCGTCCGCTTCACCACTGCCGCGTTCATGGCGGCGGCGCCCGAGCCCGCGCCCCCGCCGCCCCCGCCAACCCGCCGAGCCTAAGCCGCGCTCCCGGGCCGCCGCCGGCCCCGCCGCCGCCGCCGTCCGCTCCGGCCTGGACGCAGCGCCCGGGCTCCCATCCCACAGTGCACCGGAGTCGGCTACGGCGCGTGCGCGGGGCCGCAGGCGCCCGTCGCCAGGGCGGCGCGGCCTTAGCAACGGACGCGCCGCGGCGCCCCGCCCCAGCGCCTGCTGGGAGAAGTCTGCCCCAGAAGTCTTGCCCGCGCTTCGCAACTTGGACGAGGCCACGCCCTTGGTGTTCTAGCAGGTGTCGGTGATTGTGTCCCACCCGTCTGCGGGCCGCCGCGCACAAGTTCACTGCAGAAGTCCTTCCAGCAGTTTGGAGGCTTTGTGATCTGTTTTTGGTTCTTTTTTATTAAAAGATGCTGATTGTAGCCCCATTTTTAAATCCTTTGTTTTATTGAGATATAATTGACTTATATGGCATCAGTTTCAAGTGTAGGACATAATGATTTGGTATTTGTGTACGTCGCAAAATAATCACCACAGTAAGTCTAGTTCACATCCACCACCATAGTTTCAAAAGCTGTTTATTGTAATGAGCAACTTTCAAATCAAATATGTAACACAATATTAACTGAAGTCACCATGCCGTCCATTATATCCCCATAACTTAGTTATTTTATAACTGGAAATTTGTACCTTTGACCCCCTTTATCTGTTTCTTTCTTCTAATCGTACTTTTTAAAATTTTATTTACATTTATTGTTACCATGTTCGATGCTCTTCGTTCTTTGGGTAGATTCAAATTTCCATGTGGTATCATGTTCCTCCTGTCTAAAGAACTTCCTTTACTATTTCTTTTAGCAAATATCAGCAAAGAGTGCTCCCACGGTTCCTTTATTTGAAAGTGTTTATTGCACCTTCACATTGGAAAGATTGTTTCACAGAGCATGCAAAGCTGGGTTAACAATTTCTTTTCCTTTCAGTACTTTATACATTTTACTCCATTGGCCTCTTGTTTAGTTTCTGAAGATAAGTCTGCTGTAGACCTTTGTTCTATGTATCTGGCTGCCTTCAAGATTTTCTTTTATCATTGGTTTTTAAAAATTTGCCCATGATGTTTCTAGGTGTGGGAGTTTTTTAACTTAAAATTTATATTTGATTATTATTCATATGCAATAAGCTTTACCTATTTTAAGTATGCTTACTGGTCAATGCATTTTGGTCACTATATACAATTATGTTACCACCACCACAATCAAGATATTTCCTCTCGCTCACATGCAGTCTATCTCCTCTCTCTGCCAGCAGGAGGCAACAACTGATCCACTTTCTGTCGTGATAATTATGCCTTTTCTAGAGTTTCATATAAATGCAATCATAAGGTACATAGCCTGTTGTGCTTAATTCTTTCTTTTACAATTTTGAAATCCACCCGTGTTGCTACATACATTAATACGTCATTCCTTTTTGTGGCTGAGTAGTATTCCATAGTACATTTTGTTTATCCATTCACCAGTTTATCAACATTTGGGTTGCTTTTGGGTTTTGATTATTTATAAGTAATGCTGCTAGGGGCACCTGGGTGGCTCAGTTGGTTGAGCATCTGGCTCTTGATTTCAGCTTGGGTTGTGGTCTCACAGTCATGGGATCAAGCCCTGCATCAGGCTCTGAGCTGAGCGTGCAGCCTGCTTGGGATTCTCTCTCTTTCTCTCCCTCTCTGTCTGTTCCTGTCCCCACTCCCTTCTCTTCATAATAAGTAAATAAGCTATAAAATCTTTTTTAAAAAAATAATGCTGCTGAGAACATTTACATACAAGTCAGGGCAAACATAGTTTTCCTTTCTCTTGAATAAATACCTAGGAGTGGAATTCCTGGGTTGTATGGTAAGAATATGTTTAACTTTACAAGATGCCACCAAGTTTTCAAACTGACGGCATCATTTTTCATTCCCACCAGCCATGTGTGTGATTTCCACTTGCTCCATATCCCTGCCAAGACCTGACAGGTCAGTCCTTTTTTTCTTTTTTTAGGTCACTCTTTTTTTTTTTTTA